ATTTTCATCAATATATGAAACTGTTCACTTCTGAGGATATTGTGTGTATATATGAATGCACCCACATTAGTTGCTCTGCTTTGTCCCTGGACTTTCATGTGACTGAAATTGATCTCAAAGCAATCACCTCAGAGTTAGGAAGCAGTCTATAGGTTGGTCTGTCATGAACTTTTTTTTCAAAATTGAGGTGCCCTAGTGATTGGTGGACACTATTATGTTCTCTCTTGGGTCTTTAACCTCTGAATACAATGCCGAAAATGCAATGAAAACAGACAGTAAGAGGGAAAATTCCAGAATTAGAAGTAGGATGTAAAGAAAAAGGCCAACAAACATGTGAGCTGTAGATGACTACCAAAGTAGAGCACCATTAAAGATGGTAGCTACTGAATAAGAAATTTAAAAAAAAAATGAATTTAAATGGGGTAAAAAAGGACCTATCCCCAAATTATCAGAGCTGTGGTTGCATTTTGAATATTAATAAACAAGGATTTGATTTTCCTGGAGGTCTGCCAAAATTGTTTTCTCTATGTTGTTTCACACTGTGTGTGTTGCCCACCTGTAAAGGACTTAGTAAGTCAAGCAGGAATCAAGATGAAGGGACACATTTACATCAGGGGTCTGGTGGAGGAACTGCTGGATCTATTTCAACTAGCCTTCCTGGTATCTTCTAAGGCTTTTGTGTCCCTGACACTTTCCATTGAGAAAACAGATGTGTTCACTTGTTCTGGGACAGTTTTCCAGCTTTAGTGAAAGGAGGCAGGGCACTATTAGAAGTAGCCTGACTCCTTCTGTGACTCAAGAGAATGCACTTACATGGTGCAGACTTGGTCTTGACATAATTTAGACAAACTCATACTTTACCACAGAAGCAGCCTTCCCCAAGTCCTGTAATAATTATTGGCTCCTGTGCTTACACAGTGGTGAATCTTTTTCCTTAATAAATGAGAAGATATTATTCTTCTCGTTCAGACCCTTCCTTCTCATTAGGGCCACCTGTAAAGTTGTTTTTTTTTTTTTAGTTTGTGTCTTCTATGTGTTTAAGAAGCCTGCTTCTGTGAGGAAAGTTCATAATTGTCCAGAAACCACCACTAGCTGATTGGTAAGTGTTTCTCCTCAGGAGTGAAACACATTAAACCCACCTAGCTACATATTAAACGTCATCTTTCCCTATTTTGGCAAATATTCTTCATAAATCACTAAGAAAAGCAGGTCAAATATCAATTTTCTTTAAAATTGAATTGGGTCATTGAAATTCTAGTACACATGGGGTTCATCTACTTGATCTTCTCTTTGCTTTTCTGTGGCCCTAACTAATTGAATAGCTTTTTCTGTGACATAACTCCAGTGCTTACAATGGCCTGTGGGGACACTTTTATGACTGAGATTTTTATTTTTCTTTACCAATTTTCTTTTACAGACATACTCCCATTGGATCCTGATGGTTCTTTCTTTATATAAACCTCCTTCACTAATTATAAAGCAATATATTGACCATGAGTATATAAAGCATTAATAGTTAAAAACTTTGTTATTATATTAGTAACCTTTCAATCTAACAATTTAATTAAATAATATTATATTCCAGACAATACACTGGACTCTAGATATAAAAGATGAATAATCTTTTTTTGTGAAAAATAAAATGGAGATATTATTCTGGACTCTTACAAATAACAATAGCAGTAATAGGAATAATCTTTGATGAATCCAATATGTTATTACAGATACTTCATTATATTGGATCAAGTTTTGTAGGTGGCTGCTTGTTACTCATAAGAAAATATTAGTTTTGGGATTAATCTACTATTTGAAAACAGAAGCAGAGTTGAGTTCACATAGGATAAAAGTACAATAATACTAATTCAAAATAAATCAAAGTTCTAAGCCAAATTAACTTATAGAGACTGTGATGAATAAGAACACATTTTATGGATTTATGTTTTATGAGTCATAACACAATCCATTTAAGATGCAATTTTTTCAGTGCCGCCATAAAATCTTTGTTTCTCAAACAATATATCATTGGATTAAACATTGGTGTCACAATAGTATAGAAAAGAGAAAGGAATTTGTCCGTTCCTGCTGAATGACTAGACTTTGGTCTCAAATACGTAATGATGCCTGATCCGAAGAATAAAGCCACAACCATGAGGTGGGAGGAACAGGTGGAGAAGGCCTTTCGTCGTCCAGTTGCTGATGGTAGCTTCAGAATGGTGGAGATTATTCTTACATAAGATCCAAGTATCAATATAAAAGGAATAGTGACAACTAGAAGAGCAATCACATAAATCAACATCTCAATCACAAGAGTGTCCCCACAGGCCAGTGTAAGCACAGGAGGTATGTCACAGAAAAAGTGATTCAGCTGGTTAGGGCCACAGAAAGGTAGGGAGAAGATCAAGTAGGTGAACCCCATGTGTACTGGGATCCCACTGACCCAACAGCCTGTGGCCAGTTGGATACACAGCCTATGGTTCATGATGATGGAATAGAGCAGGGGGCTACAAATGGCTACATACCTGTCATAAGCCATTGCAGTCAGGATAAAGCACTCAGTAGCTCCAAAGACCAGAAAGAAGTACATTTGAGTAGCACAGGCTACAAAGGAAATATTTCTGGTTTGTCTACAGAGGTCTGTTAATAATCTTGGGACAGTGACTGACACATAACATATTTCCAAAAAGGAAAAATTCCCAAGAAAAAAATACATGGGGTTCTGGAGAGAAGGCTCAACATGGGTTATTATGATAATGAGGCTATTTCCCATCAGAATAATTATATAGATTATCAGAAACAACCAAAAAAGAAACTCTTGTATATTAGGAATATCAGAAAAACCAAGGAAGAGAAATTCCACCAGTGTAGTGTGATTCCTTTGTGGAGGATTTTGTCCTGTAAACTCCATTTATGAACACAATGATTTCAAGATGTAGAAGTCACTTCAATCCACCAGGCTCGGTGACCATAGTAATAATGGCCAGTCTACTGACATGGAAGAGACATCCAATTGTGTTTAAGTGCCGTGTATATTCAGAGATATATTTCAAACTCAATATCCTAAATTTCCACAAGGTAAAAAGAATAATTTTAAATTCTGTTTCTGCCTGTAATAAAGGTTATGATCATGTGACTAACAAAGTAAGACAAGAGAACAATAAAATAAGAGAAAAAGATATCAGTAGTTTATGTTAGGATCTGAGCTGTTCCCATCAGTATTTAACATTATCTAATGAGAAAAGTTTTTCCTTCCCAATCAATGTAGTCTCTATTTGCCTTTCTTTTGTATTTTTTTCTTCCCAACAACTTCTAATTTGCATTTTATTTATATGCTTCTTTCACATTTGATTTGATGGTTTTCTCTGTGAGCTGAATCCCAGATTGTCAAATGGCAAGGCAGTCAGCCCATAAGATTCCACTGCCCTGCTCAGTTCAATCAGTCCTGAATCTGAATGTCCAGACCACTGACTAGCTTGGAAAATGACTTAGACATTGATCTGAAAAAAATTAGAAATGTCACTTTGTCTCTATCACACACCAAAAAATTCTATTTAATTAATCATGAAAATATATATTAGAAATAACGCACTGTAGTAAATCATATGTGCACTGGAAGTTCAAAATGTGAAATGAACTAAATAAACTTTTGGTGTCATATGCTTTAAACCCCTGATAATCTTAATAATTCCATTTATATTGTAAATTATAGGCCACAAAGAGGCATCATTGGGGAAGTTTAGGACTTTAAACAGCTAATTATATGCCCAAAGGGAATATTAAATGTGCAAAAGAATTTGAAGTATGGATCACATCTTTCACCAGTCAATACGTAACAACTTCTACTTCATACTTCTAACATTAAATATGAGTTTCTGATTTGTGATGTACATGGCACAGTGCTAAATGCAGTGCAGACTGAGCCTCATCATCTCCTTCAAGAATTAAGCATTTTTGACCAGAGATGTTCAAGCTCTCCTCTCCTCCACTGGATCCTATAACATTTGTTTTTGTTTTTTCAGTTGCCATCCAGCCTGTGACCTCCAATTATGCTAAACTCTGACCTTTTCCACAGAAGGTCACATTCTCCACACTTTATGGTGTTATGAGTTTTGCACTCCCATTTCCTAGGTCCCAAACTGTTTTCACTTCCTACAAAATACAGCATCCCTTTCTTCTACTAAAACCCAAAATTCCTCTCTGTTTCATAAATGCTAAACAACCAAAGAATTGACAATTTCTACTTTCACTTATTTTTACTTCTCTTCTCAATGAATGTTCTCTTCTCTTTCTTTCCCACAACATATTTAAAGTACCCTCCCACCTCTACTTCCAATTTAGAATCATCAAGAAGAACAATCAGCAAATTGGGAAATTTTGGATTAAAATAATATGTTCTATAAACTGAGACTGTGTAAGCTCTAAAATACTTTTTTTTTACCACTTCTATTTTTTCCCCAATTCTTTTTCTTTTCATAGTTTAGTAATTATTTTTCCATTTTAGCTCTTTCCTAAATTTTCAAAAATTTGCATCATCTTCCAGGTATGTAAGTCATACCTTGAGGGAAAAAAAAAAAAACTAAAACAAAAAGAATATTGAAACTTCAGTGTTCTAGATATGTTTCACGTAATATATAAATCATTAAATGTATACATATCTTCTTTTTATTATTGTTTAATTTTTTTAGTTGTAAATGAACACACAGCATCTTTATTTATTTTTATGTGGTGCTAGGGAGCGAATCTAGTGCCTCACACTTTCGAGGCAAGTGCATTACCACTGAGCTATATAGCCCCAGCCCAAATCTATATGTACCTTGTAGTTTATTATGAATCGTTTAATGTGTTAAGTAATAAAGATAATAATCATGAAATAATATGTATTTGCTGTTTTCACAGAGCTTGTGGACTAGTAGAGAAGTCAGACAGGTTTTGCATCTTACCTTAGATATGCCAAAGTTTATAGAGAGAAATTAAAAGTTGTTATTGGAGTTTCAGACAATTGCTTAGGGAAAGAGCAGCTAATGTAAGACTTTTACAGATTTGGGTACATAGCAAAATAATCTTTGTTAATTTTTTTTAAAAAAAGAGATTAAAATATTTTCTGGGAGAAAAATACTTCATATCCTCTTTCAATACTATATTTCAGCAAACTGTTTAGATGCCAACACAGAAGAGTGATTTATAAATTCTTCCTGATTAATATATAGGAATGAAAATTTCCCACCAATCTCAGCAGTTATGCTCAATTTCACTAGATATGAGTGTTCAGGAACCAATGGACTAGATATTAAGTGAGTTAAAAGTGGAAAATAGATACATTGAGGTAATATGCCCTTATTGAGATTATGGGACCCTAATTTCTCTTGTTTTAAAACATTTGTAGTAATAAAAATAGGTTACTAAGGAAGATGTTTTGAGCAATGAGTGGCATAAGCTATGAGAGTGGATAGATTTAAATTAGGCAATTGTACTCTGTGTAAGTGTTGCTGTTATAATAATTATTATCCTTATTGTATTTATAATTTTCATTTTAGAATATGCTATTTTTCTATCCTCTTAAAGTCTGCTCACCATTTGTTCTGCCCTGTAACGGAGTTTGCTCAATCTAGGACAAGAGAGGATGTAAAGGGCAGTGTTTTATCAAGAATGCTGAGCTGAAATTAATAGAGTAATTCTGTGCTGATGGAGAAAAACAGCAACAGTACCTGGAAAAAAACTTACTGGTCTCTTTTTAAAAATTATAAATTTTAAAGACATTTACAACTATATAGTTGTATTTTGAACTCAAGAGAACTCACAAGAAGTGTACTATTGGCAAAGTGAAATTTAAAAATCTAAATCAAAGTCTATTTAATACATAAAAAACATTCTCAGAAATAACCTTCTTTGATCGTGTATCTTTTCTCAACTGGGTTTATATTCTCCATTGGCAATTAGTAATATTTTGGAAGTTCTAATGTGGAAACTTTAGTAGCTGCACCACATTTATTGAAAACATTTCTTCTTTATTATCCTTTACTAATCTTATTTTCTATTTTATTAGGAAACTAGCATAGCTAAAGGAGGGATATAGAGAGCCCTCATTAGTTGCCCTATTTTTTTGTTGATGCTGACAATATTTAACATTCATTATGTGCTAAACACCATTTTCATGAGTTTACTTGCATTATCTAATTTATCATACTGAGTGAAGTAGGTGTTGTTATTATATTTGTGTTATTGCAAGAAAATCCAGAGGCACAGAGAGGTTAAGTAGCTTGCCCAGTGTGATAAAGTTAGCATACATCCTAACTGAATTCAAACTGTGTTTTATATATATATATATATATATATATATATATATATATATATATATAT